CCCCCCCCCCATTTCGTTTCGCTGCAAGTGAACCGCGAAAATTTCGCAGGAATTGCGTGCTTTAACTGCCTCGGAGATTTCACGGTTCAAAGTTCATTGCGTTGGCTACGAAGTTCCTTGCGACGATTTTATTTAAAATTCCGCAATTTTAACGTTATCTCCCGTCCGTTTCCGCAGATTGAATTAAACATTTGATACTAATTAAGTATATCTTTCGCCTTGTTGTTTGTATTAAAAAGAGTCCCCTTTGAACGTTGCCCGCGATGCATCGGCGAAATTTAATTGAAATCAGAATTCATTAAAAATCCAACGTTAGTCTCTTGCTGTTTAGCCCCCGCCAGAAATAACGAATAACAAAAATAACAAAAAATTGTACCATTCAATGATTTCAAAGACTTCAATGACTTGAGGGGAAACTGTTAATGATACTAGTAACACAGTAGTTTCCTGCTTTCTACTTCACCACGAGTAATCGTTCGTTCTCAGGATGGCCTTGAATCCCCGCAGGGAATCACAATGAGACCCGAATACATCACGTGCTCGTACTCACAGGGTGTTATTACGGGAAATAGGAAACGCTATTATCACTGCGCATTGTGATATCTCGCTATGCTGCCAGTCAACATGCCAATGCTGTATTTCAATAATAATTCAATCTTGTTAACAAGACCCGAGAATGCAAGTCTCGCGAAGATTAACACGTTCCGTCCAATGTGTACCACCGGTGGTACACGCAGTCATATTTATTTAATTTATTTATTTTATTGCAATCGAACTGATCGCAGCGCCACGTGGTACACGATGTGACGGCTACTCTAAACAAGAGAACTACTTATCGATTGATGATGTAATATATCACACAATTTTTAGTCAAAATATCAAATGGCCTGAACGACAACAAAAGGCAAAAATGGCTTCCAAAATATCAAATGGCCTGAACGACAACAAAAGGCAAAAATGGCTTGGCACGGAACTTCTTGATTTCGGCGTAACTATCTTTTCATTTCCTACATTAATATCAAAAAATGGCCTGAACGACAACAAAAGGCAAAAATGGCTTGCCACGGAACGTGTTAAAGAACACGATCAGAAAGTATATATATATATATGTGTACGTGTGCTTGCGAAAACATTTGGACACTTATCATAAAAAATATTTTACAGTTTCTTAATTTTCATTTCACGACATGCTCTTCAGAAACTTCGCCGTATTCGTTAACATTTTCATTTTTGTGTATTAGAAGACGGAAATTCTAATGTATTCGGGACGCGTGAATTACAAATGTTTCTCTTTTTTTTTTTTTTTGTATAGAAATTAATTAAACGACGGAAAAAGGAATTACAGATATTATATCGGATAAAATCGGGGAATATCGTGAATCAGCGAACGACTAGGAACGTCGCGAGTGTGATACGCGTTGATGAGATTTCTTTAGGCTAATTCAATGCATCCTGCTTCCACGAATGTTGATTAGCGATGCATCGGACTAGTTACACAAGTTCACTGTCAGTTAGACAGTGCTTTGATGTTCCCTTTCAACCGTCGTGGTAATTGATGCGTTATTATATACTTTTACCGGGTAACAGCGAAACATGAATGCACTCCGATACCGAGGGCCATAATCAATGAAGTGGTCACGCAACGTTCGCTTATTTGAGAAACCGAACGTAACCGAACACGCCTTTGTAGGTCTACTTGCTCGGCCAACGTTGATACAAATTAAGAGGCATTTTGTTCTAATTTTCAAGAGTCCGTAAGAAACTGCGAGAACATCAGAATTTTTTTAATTCTCATAAATGTCAGGCATTTCCAGTTAACGTCCTCCGCATCTTCAATGAAACAGAATTATTGACACGTTGTGTCTCGCTGTGAGTGTGGTACACCTGAACGACTCAAAATCAGAATTTTCTAATTCTCACGAAGTTGATAATTCTCATCAGATCCGGAGTTCGAGTTAATGCTGGAAAATTGCATTGGGATCGTGTGGGGAAATTGCTCTAATTAAATTTCTGACGCAGTTAAACGAATTTCGCTTGCATAAATTTAATTAAGCGTTCGTATTTCGATGCCAACAAAAGTATGTAATTTTATCATACAAAACATGCGGTGCCTCTGTATTTTTACGAAAACAATTCTATCGTTTTATCTCCATAAAAGAAATATTTATATATATTTGTAAATTTCGAAAATTGGATTTCAGTTTGTTTTATTGTTATCAAGTCCTTTGGCTGTTAATTGATCGCAAAAGCAAACAACTTTACCTGAATAAATCGTATTCAATTTAAAAAAAAAAAAAATTAGCACCGAACTACAACAATTTTAGCGTAAAAGTGTTAATCGTACTGTCAACATCTAAGAGAAAAAAATCGATCGGATGAGCCGACAGGTTGGATGGTTGGAATCGCGGAAGTGTAATTATTTGCTTCGACGAAACAGCTGAAAAAGAATTACTTACCGCAGTAATTAGAGCAGTAAGCCGCGTGACACTGAAAAGACTATCGCGACATTCGCGTTAAGATTGCTCCACGATGAAATGCACCGACTCAGCGTTCGCCAGCCGCATATTAACGAGAAAACGGAGTCGTATGATCATCTCGTGAATACATCGCGAAACTAAACCCATGCAAATAAAGCGTATAACGTAAACGTTTGCATTATTATTTAAATTACATTTGACAACCTGAGAATAGCCGTCATTTACATTTGACGAATGTACCGAAGCTTCTTAGTCGGTTTCTCTCTTTTCCTTCTTCGTTTTAGCTTTTCATTGCTCCTCAGCTTTGGCACCGAAGACACATCTCGTCGCTTCAAATCGTTCTCGTCGTAGAAAATTCAATTCGCGAAAACGCTGCCCATTGAAAGCTTAATTTGCCCCTTCTATCGCCTAGTGAAATTGCCTAACAGCTTAATAACGCGTGCTTTCTCTTTCCATCGATTTGACTTTAATGCATTCAGATATTACTCAACCCTGGAACTCTGGCTACATCATTCGGGAAAGTAAACTCGATGGGAAATTCGCTTAAATACAGTTTAAATTCGCGACGGGAAGTTAAAAGCTACGTTGGAAATGGAAAAATTCTCGATCGTTCTCGATAATTTAAGTCACTGAAATCTTCTCATCTATGAATTGATCAAAAAGATGGAGTACGAAATGGATGGCGAGAAAGAGAATCGCAGCCGATTTTTCTTTCTTTCTTTTCTAATAAATGACTCAAGATCGCCGGTTTTTCCGCTCGAACAGCCAGAAACTGCAAGTAAAGGCGGCCTTTCGACCGTGTCTCTGGTCTTTGCTTGAACTCGAATCCTTGAAGCCAGGATGCAGATGGCGTATCGTCGTCTTATTGTGTTCGACTGAGCACAGCGGATCGTTACGTAACATTTTTGCCGGGTTATCTCGGCCATTTTTACGATCCGCTGTGGTTTCCCAGCTTTGTGAACTGACTCGAGGCGCTTCATCTTCGGCTATTTTTTCCCCCTTATCTCTCTTCTCGACGAGGGAAGAAACTTTAAATGAGAAGATCGACGAAGATCCTTCAGAAATTTCACATTTTTTTTTTTCTTTTCTTTTGCTTTTGCTTTAACGCGCCTCTTCAAAGGCTGCGCGTACTTTGAGACATTTATAAAGTCAGACGCCAGCAGCT